CCAGCAACCTTCCAGCCACAGGTGCAGATCCTTAGCCACAGAGCCGCCGCATGATTTATATATATATTACATTAAAAAAAACTTTCAATGTATGCAAAATCTTTAAGAGCATAGCTCTCTGAATTTCAGACTTCAACAATCAAAACGAGTTTCCTCTTTCAGCTTTTCAGCATGGAATTAATCCACTTGTTCCTTCCTATTAACATTCCTTTCCTTGTTCCTGTGCCTTAGTGTCTCCTGGCTCTTGATCGGGTGAGCCAATCTCATTGTCTTGGATCTCAGCTTGACCTGGAGAATGTAAACCAAGTGGCTAATCCTCTGAAAGTCAGCAGTGATGTAGTCAGTGTCATTTAAGGCTGCCACATTTTCAGCATGAACTGTGTGAGATGACAGCACTGTTACTGTACCACGTTGCAGCCTGATTTAATCAGATCTCAGAAGCTAAGAAAGCTTTGTCCTGGGAGTGATGGAAAAACCAAGTTGCTTCTGCACTGTTCCTCCAGGACCAGAATGTCGAAACAAAAGGGCAGTATAGTTGCAAGGGACACTATGCTGTAGGAGGTATTGTTTTTTAGATAGTCATTAAAAACCCCTAGCACCAATTGCAAGAGTAGGGGTGTTAACCCTGGTACCCAGGCTAAATTCCACCTTTGGTCTTCACAATCTGGCCTCAGTAAACTAATTAAGTTTATGAATGACATCGTCTAATGACGATGAAACCATGTACAGCAGGGAGGGGAGTATGTTGGTGTCATGGTTTGCTTAGAAATTGGAAATGGTGGTTAATTTCAGGAAACATTCTTCAACATCTCTCTCCCTGGTAATCCAGTTACAGCCAGTGATGTGGCTGAGAGTGTGGTGGAGCCCTTTACGTTTTTGGGAATTATGATTTCTAATACCCTTAAAGTTCTTCATAACAGATTAATTCTCAAATTGCAGGCACTTTGTATGCAGGGAAATGTGTGCATTTGGATTGAGAAATGGATAATAAATAGGAAATGGAAAGTACAGATAAAGGGAAAATGTTTAAGGTGTTGAGGTAATTAGTGGAGTACCACAGGGACCAGTACTGGGACCACCACTCTCTTTAATTTATATCAGTGATCTAGATTCTAATGCAGGTAGTAAACTAGTCAAGTTTGTAAATGATACCAGATCAGGAGGATTAGATAACACTGTAGAAGCAGCAGATTAAATTTAAAAAAAAATAAATTTATGGCATAAATCTAGCAGATTATGTTTTTAATTACATTAACTACATTAATTATTTAATGTAGACCAGTGCAGGATCTTGCAAGCAGGTAGTAAAAACATAACTGTTAGCCAGCAGCAATATTACCCTGCAGTTCAAAACTGGCAACCCACTGAAGCCCAGCACCCATGAGACTGGTCAGTACCTGGATAGGGGACCTCATGGGGAAAAAATGGTTGTTGCTGCAAGAGGTGTTAGTTGGGCCAGTAGGGGGCGCTCTCCATGCAGTCTGTGTGAGTCCTAATACCCCAGTATAGCGACAGGGACATTATGCTGTAAAACGGAGCTGTCCTTTGGATGAAATGTAAAACTGAGGTCCTGACTCTCTGTGGTCATTAAAAATCCCAGGGTGTCTCTTGAAAAGAGTAGGGGTGTTACCCCAGCATCTTGGCCAAAGTTCCTGCTGGCCTTTACCAATCACGACCTCCTAATAATCCCCATCTATGAACTGGCTTTATCACTCTGTTCTCCTCCCCACTTACAGCTGATGGGTGGTGACTGTACTGGCGCACTATGACTGCCATCATAGTGCAGGTGGGGCTGCACATTGGTGGATGTGGAGGGGAGTCCCCTTTACCTGTACAGCACTTTAAGTGGAGAGTCCAGAAAAGTGCTATATAAGTATTATTATTTTTATATTATAATAATAATAATAAACTTTATTTTATATAG